TTCACTCACGGAAATCGCTGTAAGAAATTGAAGATGAGGGTATACTTTATGAAACGCCTCAACACCATTGTTTATCAATATCACACTAAGGGAGAAAACCAATAGAGAGATGGCGAGACACTTTGGGAGAGCCATAAGAAAAATAGCAATTACAAAATCAAACAAAAACAATTGTGTAAGTTGCTTCGTAGAAAACGAAAATATAAACTATGAAGAAATAGAGGTGTTGCAGACTTATATAATAAGCTCATGTTCTAGAAGGCCCAAGATAGAACAATAGAAAGAGAAAACTAAATGTAATAAAGGAAAAAATCCTTGATTGACATTGATCCTAGTACACAGCTAAGGACGACCTAATATTGAAATGACAATAGAAAGAAAAAATTAAAAGAAATAAAGGAAAGAATCATTGATTAGAAAGAAGAAACTAAAGAAAATAAAAGAAAGAATCATTGATTAGAAAGAAGAAATTAAAGGAAATAAAGGAAAGAATCATTGATTGAAACTAATCCTAGCAGGATGACAGCTATGGATTTACTCTTTCGCATATAGGATAGAACAAGAGATTGTCATTATCTATAGGGTTAAATTCAATGGAGGGAGGAGGTTGATGTAAAAAGGTCCGCGTTAGTTTTTTTCGTTGTTTTGGGCGATTCTCTCGGGAAGATAAGAGACTCAAACAGGAACCTAGGTCAATATTCATCTATGTAATAATGAGTAGTTATTTTATTTGTTTTTTATTTCAAATATTTTTAAAAAATAATCTATATATTTGACTTTTAAAAAATAACCTTGAAGCCTTCGCAACGGCATCACCGATCCAAAAAAACAGTCATAACAACTTCTTTGTGAAAAATTGTTTCAGAAAGACGTTGCCAAATGCTTGTGCCTATGAAAAATTGCTAGCTGTAATATCCATAATTTTTTTACGTATATGTCAAAATAAGACCATAAAATCTGTTTGGATTATGTTTGGTTTTGTAGAGATACCCGTTGAAATGTTGTCTCCACACTTTGTAGTGGGTTGTTTCTGAACAATTCAAATAGCTAGACATATGGTTAAATTATTTATAAAAATTTTATTAATATTTTTCCCTTTGTAGGCAGGTGTTATTGGATTCACCTTAATCCATATTTTCATTTTTTTGTTCGTTAAAAGGCAAAGACACTAGACTAAATGATTTATAAGAATATTATTTATCGTGTAACTTCCAAATAATTGATATAATTAGATTTAAAATTAGGTGTGTTCGCGGTCTGGATTGGATCGGTTTCGAAAGCAAAAATTATCTGATCTAATTCCTTTAGTTTGATAATGTAATCATCCATTCGCTTTGGATATTTTTTTCAAATCCAATCCAATTTTATTCGATTAATTCGGTTATCGATTTTTCGGTTAGGTCATCATAGTTTGGACCCCTATTTAAAACTGTATTATGCAACTTTTTCTTTTTGGTAATATTATGCAAGATTTTAATTAATCTGTAAAACTGTGGTTCCTAAATAATTAACCACGTCACTTTAATCCTAATAATTTCATCTGCTACAAATTAAAAAGTACGACAAACTTAAACATTAGTAAATTATAATTATTTTTATAAGTAAATGCTAAGTGCAAAGTATTAAGTCATTAATTCCGGGGTAGAGGAAGAAATTACTACATAATTATGCTAGAAAATGTGCTAGCGCATTGATACAAATTTTTTCTGGCGTCTTGCACGCGTATCATATCGTCGTGTGCAAAGCTGACCCATTTTAGTATATTTTTAATAGAATTTTTTAGAAATATTTTTTTTAAAAAAATATTTGCTTTGTTCTTTTCTAACAAGACATTATATTTCACCTTTTTTTTTTGGTAAGCATTATATTTGACCTTTTATAAGAAAATAAATAATCCAATAAAATCAATTTAAAATATAGGAAAATTCTCATTAATTCAAATACAAAAGAATTCTTGTTAATTTGATATTGAATTAACTTAGAAAATATTAATATGGATAAAAACCCAAATCAATATTGCTTAATTTTAATTAAGGGAATAAAGTTTCTAAAGTTACTTTGAAAAAATTTGTCTAATATTTACCAAAATGATATAATTTTGGGTTGAAAAATAAAAAAATTAGAAAGATAAAGACTTTTGTAACCCTGAAATAAATTAAAATTACAAACACATCATGAATTTCGTCCCAAAATAATGTAGTTTCGGTGAAAATTAAACAAATTTTTCTAAAATAATTTTAGAAAAAATGAACCCATTAATTAATATTGAAAATATTAATATTAATTAATTTTTAAAATAATCAATAAAAATATAAAAACATAACAATATAATAAAATCAATAATATGCGCTTGAATTCTACATGGACCACGAAATTAGACCAAAAAAGAGTCTATTTTTTTATTATTTCGGGGATTGTTACAGTTATCATCTCCATCAACTATCGTATATATCTTCTCTTTGTTAGGTCAATAAACCTCAAATTCACCCGACCAATGGGTTGAACGCAGTTATGTGAATCTAGTAAAAATAATATTATCAAAACTCTAAGGGCTTTTTGACTCTTGTGCCATTCGTTAATTAATTAATAATTATTTTGTCCTTTATCCAAAAGTATCTACTAATCGGTCCCTCTTTAATCAATTATCTTGAAGATTTAATCAATTAAATGATCAAAACTAGAAGAAAAAAAATGGTTGACTTGAAGATTTATTCGATTAATTCTCCCTCTTAATCAATTAAATATCTCTCTTAATTGATTTAATCGATTAAAACTTATATTTAATCGATTAAATATTCCAAAAGAGCGTGAAAGCATTGATTGAACGAGACAAACACGATATTGGAGGTTATTTGAATTTAATGTAATAGGAGTTGATTGCGATTTGTATTCAATTGGAGCTGATTGCGTCCTATTAAATACAAAACACAATCAGCTCCTATTAAATACAAATCGCAATCAACTACTATTACATTAAATTCAAATAACCTCCGAGGAAAACTGATTGAAGATTCTACTAAGTATTTTTATGATGAATATGCAAGACGGGAACGGTTCGTTGTTCGTACTATATCAAAAGGAAAGTAACAAAATCAGTTCATGTAAATCAATCCAGTTTCCAAGAATCGTTTTTCTTTTGTTGGTTTCTTTGTTTGTTTGGTTATCTATGCTTGTTGATTTGCTTTTTCTGCATGGAATCTGCTTTTGTTTATGGAGGAGATTTGACCTGTGTGTCTGTAGGGAGATTTAATTGATTAACTTGAAGATTTAATTGATTATATCTTCAAGTCAACCATTTTTTCCAGCTTTGACCATTTAATCAATTAAATCATCAAATTAATCGATTAAAGAGAGACATATTGATATATAATTTTGAATAAGAGATAAAATAGTTATTAATTAATTAATTAATTTTGAAAGACTAAGTTTTGATAATAATAAAGTATAATATGACTCAACAAGTAAGCTAGAAATGGAAGACATAAATTTAAAATGCAGGATAATGCAATAAGTCACAGCTACAAAATCAAGGCAATATGTAAAAGGCCAAGCAAAATTCAAAAAATAGAAAATCAACCATGAAAAACCAAATGGATTTAACTGATTTACCGACTGAGAAACAAATGTGCTCCATTTAAAAAATCATTGTAAATTGTAAAATACCTTTTAATGGAAAAAATTTATCCATCCACTCCACTTTAGACTCGCTACCCCATTAGTAATAGGGAAAAATGTTTATCCTTTTAAATAACACAATTTATATCCTTTCACTCTCACAAAGAGGTAGGACCCACACCTTTATTTTTTTTGTCAACTCTCTCTCCTTCTTTATCTATCTCTTTCTCTCTCTTAAAATGACACAACTTTACATCCTTTAAAATGTCACACACTTTACCCTTAGTAATATTAAGAGATTAGGTTGTAATATGGCGGAACCTGACACGCCAGAAAGAATGACCATATTTTGTCACATGACATAATTTTGATTGTCAATGCTAATTCCTCTTTTATTACTATTTTTTATTTCACATAAATTATACTAAATTGGTACTATTATTTTAACAGTAAATTAAAAATTAAAAAATAAATTGATTTAGTTAAATAAAAATTAATAGTGTAAATAAATGTAAATAATTTCTATTTATCTGTTATAATTGATCTATTAGGCCTCTAGTCATTAGGTATATTAAAGGGCCACTAATTTGAATTTTTTAAGGAAAAAAATACTTTTAAAAAAAAAAAACATGTCTAAAAAATTCAACCATAGTTAAATAAGTTTTTCATAAACAATATACTTTTTCATAAAAAGAAACAAAGTATTTATAGCAAAAATCGATATTTTTTGTTTTGGTGAAATATTATTATTAAAAATTAAAACTACACAAATTAAGTTCTTTTTTTTTCCTGGTGATAAGTTTATTAATTCTCTGTTAAAGAGTTTGACTATTATTACCTTCTACTTTTGTTTTTTAACAATCGTTCTTTTCCTTATTATATTAAAATCAAATTAACAGTTACAAAATAACATTAAATTAGAACAATTAATTCAATTTTCATCTAATAATAACAAAATAATTATATAAAGTGATTAGCGTAAAAAAGTTACAAGAACAACCTACCCTATTATTATCACCTGAAAGCCTGAAAGTTTCACTTTTACTAACAACAAAAAGGTCGAACCTGAAGATTTAATTTTAGAAGCATAACTTGTGTTCAAAATCTAAGCAGTGAGATGGAAAAGAATTGTCCTTTCAAAAATTCCAAAATAAAAATAAAAATTAATGACAGGTGAGAACATGACATAAAAATAATTATTTATCCTATATTTCATCCCAAGGTGGGATTTACATGAGTACTTTGCCCGAGATATCACATTACATCCGATCAACCAATGACGCATGCTCAGAACAATTTTAATGGTAAACAAACAATGCGATATTACAGATACAGGCACAAATTTGATTCCAAAATGGACCCAACCGAACAAGTTACTACCACCATTAGTTGAGTTGGATGAGAGGAGAACGTGGAATAAGTGATGGTTTCAACTCCTTGACATCAGAAATTTCACATGAATTATTTTCCCGGAATTCCTCAAGAAGGGCGTCAATTGGCAAGGATCGAAGAGACTCTATTGTCCCCTTACTCGGAACATCAGGCTCACATCTTATTGGTGAGGTACCACTAGGCTCATAGTCCTGCAAGACAAAGAGGTAGCAAAATGGGAAAAAATGTTACTCTTCCTATTTAATAATAATATTTATATTTGATCTTCCGAGAAAAAAAAAAGAAGACCAAGTCAACCTACCCTATACTGCTGCTGAAAAGTTTCGCATGCCTTGTGTTCAATGGAAGCAGCTTGGCCAGCGTGATCCTCTCTGAACGTCTCAAGTGTATTTGCATGATTGCTCACCACATCTAACACGCCAGATATGGACTCCCGCTCTTGTGCAGACGCGACTACAAAAATACCCCAACAAAGAAGGACCTCACATGAATGCAAAATATATAAGAAATATTTTAAACAAAAAATAAAAATAGTGAGGTATTGGTAATGCAGAGTCCAGTAAATGTTTGTTAAACTGTTTTAGCTAGGGTATTCGCATGCATTATTTAATCACATAAAGATATTTGGAAGTAATAACAATCACTCGAATTCATCTGCAACTGGTAATTTTTGCTGCAATATACTGTTAAATCAAAGGACCAAGATCCAGAACACTACTCACCATCAAACTGCTCAAGAAGATCCTCACTGTTCTCTGCCACATCCTCCTCTGCTGCAACTCGCGCAGAATCGATCTCCATGACATGTTGCTCATTGCTATCAGAAGCATTCCTGTACAAAGTAATTGATATCACTTCGCATGAAACCTATTAATGAGAAGACTACTTAAGTATTTTAAGAAAACAGTGAAACCCTTCATCAGTAACCCAAGCATAAACTTGGGCAAAACCAAAACCATATAACACTCCCTCCCCGCCCCCATCCCCAATGAACCTCATTTTTGGTAGACACGGGCAGCCAAGACATTCTTATTACAATGAATTCACCTCACACCTGATAAGTGACAGTGTTGCAGATATATGTTTGGTCCCCATCTCATTGACAGCCTCATGCGTCCTCTTTGAATGATCCAAAGCCGATTGAGAAGTATTAACACTAAAGGATTCAAAAAGAGATTGTTAGACTGTGAGAGGATCAAGAGTTGAAGACCAAGAAAACTTGGAGAAATAACACTTACCTCTGCTGCAGGAGTACCTCCATTCGACAATGCTTTGCTGCAGAATAATCAGCAGTGTCTTTCGCATCCTTTTCTGCTTGCAAGCAAAAGGCCTGCCATTTCCTTTTTGCATGGGTCACAATATCTCCCATTGAAGACACATGTCCATCCAAGAATGACTTGTTCATGATTCCACTTTCTCGAAGATCAACAAGCTTCGCGTCTACCTGCAAGACCAACCATGAATCCATGACGACAATTAAATTGACAGAAGCAGAAACACATAAAAATCGCCCCCCGCCACACACAAAAAAAAAATAAAAAAATCAACCATTAGGGCTCAAAAAATAAGAAAGAAATATGACAAAAAAACACCCAAAACTGACCAGATCCTTTTGACGACGAATGTGATTAGAAACTAAACTAGTCATATCAGCAATAAGTTTCTCTGTATCAGATCTTGACTGCTCCTGTACAGAATAAAATAAGATGTCCACATCAGATGTCAACAACCATAACCATCTTTCAAACATACACGTTAATATTACATCATAACCTCATAAACTTTCTTAAACTCAGCAATGCTCTTCATTTGCACTTGGTCAGCCTGTGATGCATAGTCTTCAAGCTTTTTTGATTCTTCGAAAAGCTTATCCACAAATTCTTGAGAGCTCTCAGAGATATCATTTATTTGTTCAACGCTGAGATTGAATCTCTTTCATTTACAATACACAGAACAAAACACAACCAAAAGTAGATAAAGAACATCAGTCAGGACAAAGAACATTGAAGTAAAGTATAGAGAGCTGTACTGAAAGATAAACGAAAAATACAAAGAATTGACTAAATTGTTAAAAGTAATAATGAGAAAGACTGAAGTAAAACTTGAAGCACATACATGTCTTAGTTCCCTTGCAAAAAGTGCCAATTCATCCTGCTGAGTTGAAAGAGAACTTTGGAGATCATCAAATATTGAACCAGCTTCAGTGGCCTCAGATGCAAGAAACTGATTCACCAGGAATAAAAAAAAATTCTATTAGAGTTGGAAAAAAATTTGAAAAATGTACAAAAGACATTAATATAACATACTTCTTCAATAGAATGACCATTGGAGGATATAACAGATGATAATTCCTCCAAGGTAGCATCAGAGCTCGCCTTATGCAAACGCACAACATTTTGCACTGCCTCAATATGAGATATGTACAAGGCTCTTAGAGATGTCACTTTCTTTTTCAAATCAATAACCGCCTGCAGACAACAAGGGGATTGAGAGAATTTTAAAAATAAAAGATAACAATAAATGTAACACCACTACAAAAAGCAAAAAAAATAATATAAAAAACAAAAAAACTAAGAAATGTGGATCTTAAATGAACAAAAAGCCCAATAGAAAAAGGATTCGAGAAATTGGATGAAACCGTGAAAGAAGGTCAACAACAAGAACAACTGCATTGGATATTTGATGCACGCACCTTATCATGAATGCCCAAAAAAGAATGACAGAGCTTCTCCACACATTGTAGTTGTTCGATCTGTTCAGACAGTGATGTTGCAACAGTGTTGCAAAGAGAACCAACCTGCTGGGCGAGCTCCGCTTGAAAATTGTTTACGACAGCTCTGTTATCCGAGTTCAATCTATCTTCTCTACCTATATAATTACCAGACATAAATAAGGTATTTAATACTTCTTATATTTTTAGTCAATCAAGCAGATAAAAGAATAAGGCATCCTACCAATTTTCAAAAATAATGAAGCATTATCCTCGAGAGCTTTCTCCAAATCAGCTCGTAAAACACATGCTTGATGAGCCAGAGCATTTTCTGTCACACATAATAAATAATATCTTAAAGCAACGTTACAAGAGAAACAATCATAGAAACATGATCATGCAATGCATACCTGCTTTTCTCTGCTCAGATATGATGAAGTCTTTTTCTTTCAGGGTAAACTGACATTTCCTTAAATCTTCCTCTTTGTTGGCAAGCAACTTATCAGTCTTTTTCAAGTTTTTCTGTGTGGTTTAACATCTTTACCTAATAAGCAAGCGCATGTATAATTTCACAGCAACAAAGAACAAAAACTTCGATAACTCACCTCAGTAGTATCAAGTTTGTTGCTCAAATCAGAGCATTGCCGAACTTGATCAATGTATTTGTTTTGCAAATCCTCAAGTTGCTGGTTGTAACAAAAAAATAATTCAGTCATAACAAGAACAACAAGCAGGCGCATTGCATCTTCTACAGATAATAGTTTTTCAAGAAAGCAAACCTTCTGATGTGCTTCTATTGTGATCCCCATCTGTTCAATCTGATCTGACATAGCCTAAACAGAAGAAAAGCATATGCATCAATGGAAGGGCCTTAGAGAGTGGCTTTAACAACCAAACAAATTTATACTTACACCTACCAATGAACAACAATAAAAATAACCATGCTAGGAAACTAGAAATGTCCAAGGCACTAAATAAAAATTGTCGCTGTGATTTCAGCAGCTGAAAGTCACATGAAACAGAACTGCTGTTCTTAATGAATATATGTTGAATTATTCATATCGCAACAGAAAAACAACAGACAAAAAGGAAGATAGAAACAATAACCTTTTTTTCATTCTCCTCCTGATAGTATCTTTCCTTTGGAATATACACTCCATTTTTCTCACGTGTAGCATACACCTCTGGTCAAGTCAGTAATTTCATGGACCATAAGACACATAAGCAAGAAATCTAAAGAACCCAAGTAAATCTTAATTTAGCAAATAAAAAACCACAAAAATACGAAGCAACTCACCCGCCTTAAGGCGTTCGATTTCACCGTAAAGATCCTTGATAAGTGTTGATTTCATCATTTTTTGATTAACCTAAAAAAAATAGAAAAGAAAAAGGAGGTGAAAAACAATGCTTAAGGCACGGCAATGAATCATATTAAAGCAAAATGAAAAACATCCTCACATCTTGCGCATCTTATTCTAAAGAAAAATTGTCAAACCAGAGAAGCAAACTTGTTAAGTAGCAGATCCTTTCTAAAAAAGAAAATGACCCTAAAAGCACTCAAGTTGCCCCAGCATGCTTGAACAAAATGAATCGAAAGAACCAATATTTATAAGATTTTGATAACATAGATAATTAAGCTTCATCCCAACAATGGATCAAATAGAGCAATCAAATCAGTCCCTCTGTTCGAGACTTTCATTATAAACAATTTTATTAAACATTTAGCTATACATATGTTATCATGAATGCACATTGCACAATACAAATGGGATCAAATACATGGTTCATAAAATCTCTTTGAAAAAGTACTATGATCATATTCACAAGAAATATTTGGAAGATATATGACTAAATACGCATAAAATTGTCAAATACTAAGTCATCCAATCAACAACAAACCTCGGGTTTATTTCTAATGTTCTTTGCCCTGTGTGCATAATCCAGTGTGCTCAGAGTTTCCTCTAGGCAATGAACAGCAGGAGACACTGTCGCTATAATGCATGTCTTGGTTCTTCCCCCAAGTGAATCACGCAGTAAACGCGTCAACTTGCTATCCCTAAATACCAACTTACCCATGTAAGCATACAAAGAAAGGGATAACGTCGTAGATACAGAGAATTAAACAATGTCAGGAGCCCAAAAATAAAAACCTGTAAGGGATGTGACCAAGGTGCTCCACAAGTGCATTGATCACCCGCCCTAAAGTAAGCAAACTTTTATTAATTTCCCCAGCTTCTCTTGCACGACCCTAACAAACATTACAAAATTCAACTAATATTAAAATTACTACTTATTAGGAAATTCCCAGGGTGTATGGCGTACTAAACAAATGTTATGCTCATAATGTATTACCTCCCTAGCTCCAGAACGAGATATATTTTCTGAGCCAGCTAGATCCACCAAATTCAGTTTACCACATTTTATTAGTTCTTCACCTTCTGGGGTTGCTTCCTTGATGTGGATTGTAATTGAAAATAGTGAATGTGACCGACTGAAAAGAAAAACCGAATTTCAGTATAAGATCGAAATCTGATTTGACAAGGTGTCAATTAAAACAACAAAGTAGCAACAGTTACCTGGACTGCTTGTTCAATAACGTTTCCGCAGTTCGCCGTTTGGAAGACCCTCTTTCAAGAAGAGTAAAAATCTCACTAGCACTTGTTACAATTTCTTCCTCCAAGCCTCTTACAAGAACTCCACCTTTACCATCCTCCATAAGAGGAAGCTGCTTTTTTTGCTTCTCCTCCAAAGAAACTTTTGAAAGTTCCTCTGGGGCAAGCAAATCAGTGATCTCTTCGTTATACAATTCTAAAAAGGTGACTTTCACACTATATTCAGCGTTCTGGCTCTCAAGAGTGTCAAAAATCTGCTTAACAGCCCTAGGAATGACTCCTGCTCCTGGAGGCAACTCTCCATTGGGCCCACTCTGTGGTAGAATCATCAAATGAAGTAAGTAACTAAGATGACTGATTTGTAACACTTGGTGAATGATTATGAGATAGAGTATAGACACCAAATCAATACCTTTGACCTTTTGCATTCCCCTTCCATAGTGTAGGTTTTTCCCGTACCAGTTTGACCATATGCAAAAATGGTACAATTAAATCCCTCTAGAACTTCATTCACTATTGGAGTAACAGCTTGTTCATAAAGATCTTTCTGCTGAGCAGAAGGACCAAAAACCTTACAGAACATACAATTGAATATATTACAATATGCATTTCTATTAACTCAAGCTTGCAATTACAATACATCGAATCTGAGACACAATGAAACTCGAAATTATAACAATTAAAGAGTAAGCTAGTCCTGATAAACACAAAAGTGAAATTATTAGAAACAAGTAAAAAGAAAAACCTTATCGAAAGTGAAAACCCTGTCGATATGCTTGCCGGCAATGTTCTGAGACACCGCTACTTCTCTGTTGTATTCACTGCAAGTCACAACTTGCGGCGCATTGCTCCGTAACTCCTCGTCACTAAACGGCCTGCAATACATAAACGTAAGAGTTCGAGTTCCATAAGAAGTTCAAATGCGGAAAAACGAAGAAAATTCAAAATAATAATAATAATAATAATAATAATAATAATAAAAGGAATACCTGCAACGGAGGAGAACCTGAACATTGACGCCCTTCTCTTTCCCAGACATTTTCGATTTTTATTTATTTATTTTTAATTTTTTTTGGGTGTTAGATCTGTTCCTGAAAATTGCTTCTCTCTCTGAATGGATGTGAGAGCGGGGTTGGAGGGGGTGGTGGGTTTGAGATTTGAATTTTTGAAAGCCGCTCTTCCCTTTTTCTTATTGGCTATATATCTACGGCTCAGCGATTCGGTACCACGATCTAACGGTGTTCCAGTCCACCTTATAGTTTGACCATTTTACCCCTGTCGTTCGCCTTCTTCTTTTTTAACAATTTATTAACTGGACTCAATTGGGCTACCGAAACAAATAACAATCAGCCCAACTCTTTAAACTTGGACTCTACGGAGAAGAGCCCGCCTCGTGTTTTTTCTTCAGCTTGAAAAAAGTCAACTGACTATCTTACACGGAGAAGAGCCCAATGCTTATTCATCCAATCTAGTATTATACAGTCCATTACCAAACACTGGATAGTATTATCTTACACAATATATTATCTTATACAATATCATGTCAAACGCTGTATAGTATTAAAATTTAATCAGGCCTTCTACTATCAGGGTTTATACTATCATATCTTATCTTATACATCACACCAAACAGACATTTAATGTATAAAATGTGTAGAACGAAAAAAAAGTAAGGAGCTGGTAATTGACCAGTTACATAAACATGGCCATGCATGAAATACATGAATAGTTTAACAAAAAAAATATTTCTGAGTTACTGTAGATAAGTTATCTGCATTTACTCTCAAAACGATGTCGTTTTGGAATTGAAATATTAAAAAATTATAAAGATTATAATAACCCTGAAATAAATTAAAATTATAAAAATATCATGATTTTCACCCAATATCACCGTGACTGTACTGGGCTCAAACTCATTAGCCCTTGGTATAGCGCACTTGAGCAATTTGCAAGTTTAGGAAGATTAAGTGATCACAACTCTTCAAGGAGTACCCACATGTGTGTTTATTTTGTCTGCATTCTTATTTCAAGTATAAAGTTCTTCACCATGATCAAGTGGGAAGACCACCCCTGAATACAAGCATGAACATTAATAAAACCTGTCAGGTGGATTCGCGAGAGAGAGTAATTTGTATGGCTTTCTTTCGTGCTATTGAAGGTAAATATTTTCGATGTAGTAATTTTAATAATTGTTGCAAATATAGATAATAATTTTAATAATTTTTTTATTTTTTTTTTATAACAAATATAGATAATAATTTTAATAATTTTTTCTTTTTAATGATTGTAGTAATTGGTTAAAGCTTTGCAGCAAGTTTATAACAATTTGAGGTTGAATTTTTATCGCTAGTATGAAATTAGTATATACCATTGTAATATTTTTCATTTAATTTAGAATTTTAATATAATGATAGATGTATCATGCATATTTATTTATTTGTTCAAGTTATTTTGATTTAGCTTATAATCCTTTTTTAAAAGTAACATTATGATATTTATGTCTATGTGATGATTGTAGTAATTGATTAAAGTCATTTATCGTAAATATAAACACCATCTATTGTGGCTAAATGGAATTAATTTCATGTTTCCAAATATTTAAAAGGCTTAAGGAAACAGTAAACCTTGATTAATTACATTTCATTAAAAGACAAATTTATTTACTTGATTTATTTTGTTTTATTATTTATTTTAGTCATTTATTTTGTGCAAATCTCAAAGTCTATGTGAAATTAATATCCTTTTTTATTATATTTATCTAACTGTATTCCCAGCTTTTAATATTTTCCGGTGGCAGCTAAACACCTTATTCCTTTTTGATGAAAGAAAAATAACCTTCCTAAAAAAGGAGGAGGAGAGGAAAAGGAAATGGAAATAAGAATAATAATCTTCATTATTTGGCTTTATTACATATTTACATGCATTTTTTATTTTATTGATGAAAACCAAACAAATAGATGGAATTTATTTATTTATTTTAGATGATACCAAATAAATGAAGTGACAGGTCCCCACTTTTTCATTCATTTATGTAATTTTGTATTATACCATATTTCCATTTGTGCAATACCAAACGTATCTTTAATGAACGGTGTACTTTCTTCTCATTTGAACTAGGGTTTTTGATAGGCACTGGGCATTTAATTTTGTCAACTACCTTTTCAATGGTAACCATCGGACGCAGGGCATTATGGCTTTTAATATAACAAAGCAGATGTGTTCATTTAAAAAAATTAATACTTTATGGATATCAGCTACTCGTCTTAATGTATGGATTACATACGGTTGAACCTGGTACTTGATGAGGGTTTGGGTTATGGTATGCTCTGTGAGATGATAGTTGATGTTGTGTGAAAGTGTTTGGGTTGTTTGAGGAGATTGAAGGAGGTACTTAAAAGGTACTACACCCAAATCAGTTTATTACTCAAGTTGTTCAGGTTTACATGGACTTAGTGCCTTTGTATTTATAATAGATGGATGCCTTGCTTAAGTCGTCTTTGTATGGCGGTGTTTATTTCTACTAGTGGAAAATGATAACTTTCACTTATAGATTATCAGATGGTCAGGCTAAACCCTTATAGATATCATGGCAAGCTAGTGTTGTCCTTTAGTTATTGGTTCAAGTAGTAGCCAAGTTGTCTTAAGTAGCTTATCTAGTCAAGTTCACTTGTTTGACCTGCTGGTAGCATGTGTCAAGAGAACGCGAGATGTTCAAGTTACGTGGGATAAATTTGTTCGCTTAATGGTTAAGCAATGGTTTTCTGGACTTGTTGGGTCTTTTATGAATTGGACTTTAATCTCACATAAGTTAGGTCTAGATCAAATAGTATTGAGTTTTTATGTGCTTGCATCAATATTCAAACTTCAAAATGTCTAGAAATAAATTATGATGTACTCATAATCTAAAAATAAATTATAGAGCGTTTGACTTCTAATGTGATGTTTTTATAGTAATGACGAAATAATTATTAAAAGTTATAGTAGAACGAGTGATATAATGTAACTGCAAGCTAGTATATTAAAAATTGAGCTCTGTTTTACCAACATGTGCATTTCGTGCCTTTCATGGACCAAATTCATTTTGAGTAATGCTATTTGCAAATCAAAACATTCATATTTTTTTTACATTTTACTTGTTCGGGTATATATAAAGAGTTGTTAGAACAAGTATAAAAAAAAAAAATTGTTAGAATATATATTTTCTTGATTTTTTTTCATTACAAATTAATGGTATAAGAACTAAGGAAGTTTTTAGTAAAAACCTCGTGAAATTTATTGTCCGAAAAACATGACGCAGGGGTCCCACCACGTCCGCTACTCCATCAGTATGGGCTAGAACTCGGAAAATAAATATGCAGCACATGGTTCGATAGCTGATCTTTCAATCTTTAGTCAAAAGGATGAGGTTATGGCCAAACACAAGTTCCAACCAAATATTGCATTGCCACAATTTCTTCTAACAATAACTTCCACATGACGTGAGTTTAGTAATTCGATACATGAGAATATAGTTCTCATCTTACATGAATCCATATATATTTATAGACGTAATTTTGGGATAGCCGGAGATAAACTTATCTTAAGTTGTCGGAGAAATGTTTTTCTCATATAGGGAGGGGTTATATTGACAAACTTTTTTTTCTTACAAATTATACTAAGTCTCACCGGTCAGACTTCTATGAAGAATGTATGACTAGTCAGACTTAGTATAGTTTGTAAATTTGTAAGAAAAAAGTTTGTTAATATAACATTCTCCATATATATATATATATGGCTAAGGATCATTTTACACCAGTGTAAGTTACACTCTTAATCTTATCTGTTGATCTCATTTATATTTAAGGGCTCAAATTTTTTTAGTAATGTGAGCCATTGGATATAAGTGGATCAATGGTTAAGATTGAGTGTAAGACTTCTAACTCTTACACCGGTGTAAGAATATCCTGCCCCTATATATATATATATATATATATATATATAGTGAAAGCATTTCTACTATATATATTTATAGACGTAGCTTTGGGATAGCCGGAGATAAACTTATATCAAGTTGCCGGAGAAATGTTTTTCCCATATAGGGAGGAGTTATGTTGACAAACTTTTTTTCTTACAAATTACACTAAGTCTCACCGGTCAGACTTCAATGAAGAATGTATGACTAGTCAGACTTAGTATAGTTTGTAAATTTGTAAGAAAAAAGTTTGTCAATATAACATTCTCCGTATATATATATATATATACATATATATATATATATATATATATATGGTGACTACTTTCCCATATCTTTATTGGATTGTGTTTTTTGTGTTCTTATATTTTTTTATTATTCACCTGTCAGGTTATTACGTGCATTACTTTTGGAACCATAAGTAAGTTATTGCAAGAACTCTTAGAAAAATGTTTTGAAACTTAACATTTCAATTACAACGTGCATTACTTTTGTCTATATTCCATTTGTTCTGATTTTGGAAAATAGTGTTGTAAGAACTGCCGGAAACATTTAGATGCTTATCATCCCAAGTAAGTTATTGTCCTTAACGTGTTTTGAATCTTAACATTTCAATTACAAAGTACTGTGCATTTCACTTATTCCTTTGTGATGCGTAACTAAATAGCTAGTGTTAATGTCTGGAAAATTCAGTATTTAAGTGAAGGTTGTGGATAACACAGATTCTGCATTTCTTCTTATGTTCAATAGAGACTGTGTTGATTTGTTTGGAATGAGTGCTGCTGATTTACGCGAGCATCATTTCAAAAGGGTCTGATTATAATTGCTCAACACTCTATGTTCACTGAGTTTCCTTTAAGAAATATTAATTAATTAAATTAACTTTGTATAATATTTTGATGCAGTGTGGTGATTTGGATCATTATCCATAAGAGCTCAATGTTCTTACTGACAAATTAATGTTATTTAAAGTCAATGTAAAAAAAAAAAGAATTTGGAATCATACTCGGAGCCAAAATATCAAGTTTTTAAAGTTTGCTGCAACGAAACTATTATCGCATCATACCTTAATTCTATTGTTAACTCGAATGTATGTTGTTTTTGTTTTCAAATGTTATTTGATTATATTAGTACTTTGTATTAGTTTTACA